AAATATACTTGCAACCCTTAGTCCCAAAATTCCGTGGGGCTTCTACTATTCTGGAAATCACTTCATATGAATTAATTTACTATATTACACCTATCTCATTAGCTGCACTGATTTTTTTGTTTTGATTTACATTTATTATGGATATATACTCAGTACATATTTGGGTGCATACCTTTTTTTCTCAAAATTAGCAAGGAAGAATCCTCTGTCATTTCTAGCTTTAACAGTTATGAAAGTGTAGAAAATTATGAACATCAACTAATAAAAGATGGAAGGTAAGGAAAAAATTGTCCTTCCCTCTGTCAGACATAGGAGTGGATGATTAAAAGATTCTTTACAAATGGACCAAATGATTCTAGAATACAGAATTCTGGTGGTTCATTAAAAATGAATACTTTGAATGATTTTTTCCTTTTTACCCCTTTGAATACCTGTGATACATGTAATATTCAATCTTCTTTAAGACATTGTGTCACATAAATTGTACCCAACTCTCCTTGAGACACAGAGGGAGATTAGTAAATTTAACCGCTTAATAGAAAATATCAACCTATGTTTTTGTTGATTGGAGTTGAGCCTGGGATGTGTCAGGAAGCTCCTATTACCTCATGAACCAAGATGATTGTCATTGTCCTTATGGGGGAGAATGAGAGTCAGGTGTCATTAGGAAACCACAGGAGTTATGTACACCAATACATTAATGGCTGTCTGTCCTGAGAGCTGTTGAAATCTACTTTCTCCTGATTGAAAATCTACATTCAAATACTAGACTTAATATTTTGCCTATGTACAGACTTCATCTTGTAAATTATGAAATATCTTATTCTGGGTGTTCACATTTCTAGACCCATCCTAATTGCTCTGTTTCCCTGCTCATCAGAAATTTCTGTACTTTAGTCTCTGGCAATTCACACTCTAGTTGACCTCTGTTGTTTGGACATGAATGATGATCTTCCTAGAATTGACAGCTGTTGAGTAAAGAAAAGCAAATTAATCCAAAAGCATATATACCCAAATTCAGCTGAAGAATCATACTGATCTTCATAAGTCTTCCAAACCATAAGGGCATTAAGTATGAGTGATATGATAATAAAGTGAGCAACACATGATGATATCAGATTGCACAGATTTATTAAATGGATAGAAAGCAAATAGCATCTGTATATGTCAACAGTACAGAGAGTAGTGCATAGTTGGGCATGACCTCTAATCTCACCAGCTGCTGAAGTTGAAGAAGGAAGAAGCTGTTAGTGGAAGGATGCTATGATATCAGTAGGGATTAAACAGTAAAACAATAGCTTTAGAGCATAGACTTTGACATATGAGAATATAAAGGCTTAACAACTAATTCCATAAAGACCTGATCCACAGATTGGTCTGAAACAAGGTTGGCAGGAACGAGACACCAAGTAGCTTGGGTAATAATATCTGTACCCATAACCCAGAGAAGGGAAGCCAGTGACTCCGCAATTCAGAGATCTGAAGGCACTGGGTCCACAACCCACTGAGTAACAGCTTCTAGATCCATAGCCCAGGGAATGGCAGATGCTGGATCCAAAGCTCAGAGACCCAGCAAATGTCCCCTGGCAGGGACTGCAAGGTGTGAAGCTCCTGGGGTAGTAGCAGGCTGTCTGGCAAGGACTGGACACCACACAGGGCCTCTGGAAGCTGGTGGGCTCAAAGCAGGTCTCCTGACAGCCACTGATGAGAGAGGATCGCAGCTGGCAGGAGCTGGGAGAGCAGCTGGTGGTGGTGTAGACCAGGTTGCTGGGGTAGGAAGAGCCACAGGAGGAACCTGAGGAGGGCAGGCAGCACCTCAGAGAATGGGAAGAGCAAGCCATGTTGAGAAACGATGTGAGCTCAGCTGGAAGCAACAGGGAGATTCTGAATTTGGATGTCTCCCTGTGGAGAGCTGGGTTTATAAAGTCTCAGCAACAGGTGTGGCACCCAACATTCTCATCCTTGATGCATTTGTGTGCTTCCTGGTTTGCAAATGTGGAACTCGGTAATCTCTGTAATTGCAGTTCATTTTCATAGTTTTCTCCCCATCATGATTATGGGTGTTGTCATTTTATTTAAATAAAAGATGATGAGCTACTGATATGCCAGACATGCCATCACTGTTGTACACTAATGACCATTTTATCATGTCCTGCAAAGAAATCCCGCCTTTTTACCTTGTCATAACTTTTATGTGTTTTGTCATAGGATGGTACGAGGAAAATGCCTTTCTTCACAGTGTGTGGTATGACAGTAATTTGCTGCTCTTCTTGTTAATGGATTGGAATCGAATCATTTTTACATTTCCGATGAAACCCTCTAGATGTAGATCTTCTCGTTTTCCAACACTCCATGTGGACTGCATGGCTTTCCCTCTGTCACTTAGTTCTAGGATCAAGGAAACAATGTGAGTCAAGGAAAATCTAATGGGATGGAACCAAGGAATACAGGAGAGGAGGACAAAGACTGGAGTTTTTGTGATCACAGGTGACAGAAGTGAGGCTGAGTCACAATCACTTTACTAGTTAGGTCTCTGACTTTGTCACTTTGTCCAGAATCCTCTCAAAGGGAAGATTTTGGAAATGAAAAACAATGTGCAAAAGCTGAATATATCAAATCATACTTATATTCTTCAAAAACAAAATCTGGTTTTTAAAACTGGATGTGTTTTCATGACTATGTTTAGTAGAGGTTCAAGATAATTTTTTCAGTTGCATACATACTTTGGGTTTTTGTTTACATTTATATTTTGAGTGATAGATAGAAAGGAAAAATAAAGTTGGAGGAATAGGGAGGATCTACTATCAGCTGGGAGACAAGAAAGTGTTAAAAATACATTACGTGAATATTTTAAAATAATAAATTAATTCAATAATTAAAAGAAAGAAATAGTAAGAGTTTCATTTTGGAGCTTGCATAGACTATGTCTGAATAATGTCTACTTAGACCAACTTTGGCCCTCTTCTCATTAAACAGTGTACACTTGCCAAGAATAAAAATAAAATAATGTTTTTAAAATTATCAGTTGATCTTAGCAGATGAGAGAATGTGTTGATGTATCAATTTATGCATAGCAACATAGCTGTTTTAAATAGTTCTCAGCCTTACCAATAATACTTTTTGCACCTTTACCTAATGAAGAAATGAAACATCCTTACTCCATAGCAAATAACACACCAGTCTATTAGTAGCAAAGAATATCACGTAGGGTAAGGTTATAAACTTCCTATTCGACATAGGAAGTTTCTCAAACACAGAATTCCAACAACTGGTTTCACAATCTGGTTCACAGGATTCTAATAAATCTATCCAAAACTTTCGACTGTTGTCAAAGTGATGATAAAGGATACACGGCCTGATAATATCACTAAATGTTACTTAATATTACTTCCAGCTAAATGGCACCATTCCAAGAATTAACATGACAAATAGTAAATGAGAAAAAAATGTGTAACCCAATTAATGTTGAGAACTAAGGTTTTCTGTAGCTTCTAGTAAATACTTTCATCACTGTCTGTTCTATCATTAATAAGTCTTGGTTCCATTGGCTTTTAATTTATAATTTGAATATATGGCAGTACTTTACTCTCAATTTCAGGTATATATATATATATATAAAACAATGCATTGCCATGAAAGGACATGGTTTAAAAGAAACAAACAAAAAAAAACATATGCATCACATTGACTCATCAACATATCCTTTCATCTGTTAATATTAAGCTCTATTTTTTCACACCAGCCTTTCCATATTATTTTTACACTTGTATGTATGCATTGGAAAGTGTGAGAGCAATAGAGATGAGTATAGTAGATATTATTTAGAAGTATTCTGCAGATAGCTTCCAAAGTAAAACTCTGAGACTTTACAAATAAGTAAACAATTTAAATGCTTTCTTTCTCAACCCTTTTTGACATGTTGAAGACTAAATATTTGTCAGGCTTCTTTGATATCTACCAAAAATCATTTTTATTTTCAAAGCTGTATAAGACTAGATATGTTGAGACTATCTCAACTTGATTTTTATCTTCAGAATCTCCCCTAAAACTGGAGTCAAGGAAAAGATCAGTCCCTAGGAGCCATACAGCCTCTCTGTGTTTCCCTAGAGTTACTTTCCTTAGAGTCAGTCACCACCTGGGTGCTGTTAATGTAAATGGAGGTTTCTACAGACTCCACAGGGTATAGGAAAATTGTCAGCTGGGTTTCCTGTGTTTGAAATTTTTCAAATTGACTAGTCCATGGTGACACACACTCAGATGCTATCACTGTATCACCTCAGGACACTTTTCAGATACACAAGGTATGAAATGGTTTACTTCTCTCATATCTTTGACTCTATTCATGAAGGTCAAAATGCCCTGCTCTTGTGACTCTGCCTTAGTCCTGTCTTTGCTCTAATCACAGCTTCAGTCACTGCTTTTCTCTCTCTCCTTTAGGGTCAATCTTATTCCATTTACTTTGCTCATACTCTGTCCTCACCAGTGGAGGAGAAGTGCATGGGAATTGCTACCCATCCACAAAGAAGAGAACTGATGAAAAAAGGTACGGTGATCTTCAATAGGTTTCAAAGGGAACCCAACTGATGTCTCCAGTTCATCAACGGAAAGAGTGAATCCCTCTCATCGTTAATTATGGAAGAAATGAGTGTTCTTCAGAACATTGCCACGATCACATAATAATTAGACCAAGAGGAAAAGGAGAGATTTTCCTGGATACACTGAATAAGCATCAGTGTAAAACAGTCATTTCATCTATGACATAGCAATAGCTCTTTGTTGTAACCATAAGAAAATTTGCTACACCCATAAAAACATTGTTCAGAAAACTATTTGCATGCAACTGCACATTTGTAAACCAGGAAGCACACAAATACATCAAGGATGAGACTGTTGGGTGCCACACCTGTTGCTGAGAGTATATAAACCCAGCTCTCCACAGGGTGACATCCAAACTCAGAATCTCCCTGTTGCATCCAGCTGAGCTCGCATCTCCTCTCAACATGACCTGCAGCTGCAGCTCTGCCAACTTCTCCTCCCACTCCCTTAGGACCTGCCTGCCCTCCTCAGGTTCCTCCTGTGGTTCTTCCTACCCCAGCAACCTGGTCTACACCACCACCAGCTGCTCTCCCAGCACCTGCCAGCTGCGATCCTCTCTCAGCAGTGGCTGTCAGGAGACCTGCATTGAGCCCTCCAGTTGCCAGAGATCCTGTGTGGTGCCCAGCCCCTGCCAAACAGCCTGCTACTACCCCAGGAGCTTCACACCTTGCAGTCCCTGCCAGGGGACATATGCTGGGTCTCTGGGCTTTGGATCCAGCAGCTGCCGTTCCCTGGGCTATGGATCTAGAAGCTGCTATTCAGTTGGGTGTGGACCCAGTGGCTTCAGATATCTGAATTGTGGAGTCTCGGGCTTCCCTTATTTGTGGTATGGGCCCAGATTCTACTATCCTGCATGCTTAGCTTCTACTACATTCCAACCTTCTTGTTATAGATCAGTCTTTGGCACTGAGTTCTAGAATTCAACTGTTAAGTCTCCATATTTTTATAACATTAAAACCAAATTCAATCTGTCATGTAGAGAATCTATTATATTCATCTACCATTAATTTTTTGTCTTTCCACTAACAATTCTTTCATTCTCAACTTCTGTTGGAATCTTAGATTAATGTGTAATCCCATATTATAACTGACATTTTGTGCTATTGATATTCTGCTATTTGATATTCCTGCAAACATGTTTGGAATCTGAAATTTTAATCCAATAAAATTGAGCAATCTTAGGCCTTAATACTTTGTTCATCCTGTTGTTATATTGCTGTTATGTTTGCATTTATATCTGGGACTTAGTTAAGGATAAACATTGTATGCCACTTGAGTTTGAGAGAAATTAATTTGGTTTGGGGCATGTTCCTTTTTTGTAGTAATCAACAATTTCAAAAATGAAATTAGAAAGACTCATAGACACGTGAATTGCCTAGTATTGACATACAGACCTAGAAAATTATCCATCAAGAGTATATATACTTTGTGAGGTTATGTAGTTTTTAGAAACAATTATTAATTCTAGTATGTGAATATTTTCAAACAAGAAGAAAGTCAGCTTTCAAAGTCTCTCAAGACAGGTACTTCTTTTTATTTATAATGCTAGTATCTCTGCCACCCAGAGATTAGGCACTATTCCTGCCTATCTTCTCAAAACATTTTAAAGGATATCACAATGATCTTGGGTGGTAATAACTGAGTCTAGGAATCAGGGCAACCTTCAGATGCTTCTCCAACTTATCTTTTGCCAACTTAGAAGCAATGCTAAGTCTTTGTTTTGTTGTTTTAGTCAAATTGTCAAAGTCAAAGTGTTGGGTGTAGTTTGTTTGAAATAGGAACCAGGAAAAGAATGCTGACCCAAAAACTCTAGCATATAGTGCCTTAGTACATCAAACCAATCCAAAGGGAGTTCTAGTCTCACGGAACATTTCATAGCTGACTAGGGGCAGGAGCATACAGGCTGCAATTCTAGTCATGGAGAAGTCATGAACCAAGGAAGGGGTAAGGCTGAGCCTGGGCAGTTGATATAATATAATATAATACCTGGACTGGGGGACAGGGTTAAGGTACTCAGACTTTAGAAGTTCCACAGCAGGATCTGGAGGGAGGAGAATGAGGATCAGGTCATAGCTACCTCAGCATAGTGCATTCCCATATGGAAAGCAAAGGAAAACATCTTGCCTATGGACCTCACCCAGTCAACACACCACTCTGTTGCAGTCAGCTTTTGATTGTAAAGTTTGTAGTACTCATTTCATGACATTAGGTACATTTGCGTGTTGTTGTTTTTAACAAAATCTCAGCCATTCAACTTTACCAATAAAGATTCAGGAGCCAAACGTTGTTGTGAAAACCTGCTAACTCAGAAAGGCATACAAAGGACCCTGCCCTAACAGTAAATTAGGGGAGTTCATTTTATGGGGAGCAGGTTATATCTTTCCTAGGGCAAAACGATTTTGACAACAGAAAAGTATCACGTTACATTAAAAAAAATTCTGAAATTTTGAAATGAAATACACCTTAAGTATTTATGGATAAATGTACCTATATCCCGCTTTCTCTTTATATGCACACACTCACACACACACACACACACACACACACACACACACACACACACTTGTGTATTATATTTTTAAGAGTAGTTATCTTTAGATCACAAAGGAAATTGACTTTGAATTTTAGCCTGCCTTTTACAGGTAGGTTGTAAGTTTAAATTACTGTAATTCTTATATGCTTGCTTCTGCCTCCCAAGTGTTGGCATTGAAGGTGAGAACCTCTTCCTGGGTATGGATTCCTTAAAGTAGTTACTTTCATAGAATTGTCCTGATTTAATTTGGTTCCCCATTTCCCTTTATTTACAGTGTTACAGGTAAACTTTAAACTTTTTATAATGTGTCATCTGTCATTTTAGTTGATTTGTTTTGGATTTGTTCCCTGGCAAGTTTTAATGTTCTAGTCTTAATTAAGCATGATGCCACTTTGTTCACTATTTCCATTATTTTATGTCATTTTTTCTGTGTTTCTCGTATGAGCTACATAAAATTTAGCATCTTTGCTAGGGTGTTCCATTTCCATTCATGCTTTCCATGACCAGATATCTTTGCCATTTATCTGCCAGTTAGTGGTTTTCTGTTTTGATGACCACAAACCGATACCATCGCAAATGCATGCACTGGGAACTGGAGAGAATAGAGACTTTCCTTTTGTTTTCTTGTTGTTCTTATAGCCAAAAGTGCTGCCATTAGCTCAGTGTGTTATGCTGATTTTGTGGATCCTTCCTCACTGTTGGCCCTTCATTCTCCAGGCTATAGGCTGCCACTTCCTATTCATTTTGGTTCCATCAGTGGTTGATGAACATCAGTAAAAAATGACTGAGCCAAATTTGTGACCATTCTCTTTGTTCCCAAAATACAAGAGTTGCCCATATTGGGGGTCTGGCAAGTGGTTTAGAGATGAGGATTGCAGGCGACAGAGCTATTTCCTCAGTGCTCACTGTGGGAAGGCATGAACCCCTTTGCTGCCACATTGTGATGACAAAGGAATTCAGATAGGTGTCTGTTCCTCTGTAATACCTTTCCTTCCTTGGCTAAGCCTGAGAATAATTCTGCCTAAAACAGAGTCAATACAGCATTGAATGGGTGCCCTATAACCCTAGTGTGGTTGGCAATAGCTGAGTATAAGGTCCTGAATACCTCATCTCAAAGAGAGAATATTTTTTCTCTACATATATGGAAAACATTTGCAATGGAATCCAACAAGCAAATGTTGGTGAACTCCTGTTTGCTTTATGAAAAGCCTCCAGCTGCCAATTCAACAATAAATATGGTATCACTAATTACTGCATCATCTGGTTCAATACTGGCCAAGGTGGCATGCACGGAGAAGCTCTTATCAGCAGTTGCAAAAGCTGCTCTTTGATCCTGTTACCAGTAGACATTAGCTGACTTTCTAGTAACCTTGTAGAGGGTTTTTATGCTAATCTGCAACTATGATATGTGATTTCCATAATATGCAAACATAGCAATTAGGAGCCTTTCCTGACTTTAGTGCCTTGATGTTGGGATTAAAGGCATGAGCCACCATCATCTTGTTCGCTGTAGCTCTAGAATTTAGAAAACAACTAACTTACTGAGATCCACCAGTCTCTGTTAGGATTAATGAAATTGGGTATGATTTCTCCCCTAAATATTTTAGCTCTAAATCACTCTAACTCTTAGAGATTTAGAAAATAAATTTGAACTGTAATAACCCTTTGAATTTACTTGAAAACTTTTGAAACTCTTAACTTTTTAATACCAAAAAAAATCCCCAAAATAAGCTTTTTCTTTAAGAAGAAAATTGAAGAGCCAATGTGCACGATGGTGTGGTTCATGTGGCCATTTACGGTCTAACATGGAATTAAGACACATGGTTTAAGAAATTGCACTTTTAGTCGGGGGGTGGTGGCACACGCCTTTAATCCCAGCACTCGGGAGGGAGAGGCAGGCAGATCTCTGTGAGTTCGAGGCCGACAGCCTCCAAAACGATACAGAGAAACCCTGTCTCGAAAAATCAAAAAAAAAAAAAAAAAAAAAAGAAAGAAATTGCACTTTTCATTTCATGTCAGTAATGCTAGTATGCCTTTGGTAAATTTTCATTTGAAAATATTATATTTTATTATTTGTTATTTTCAAGATATCTTATTTGTATTCTGACAAATAAAGTTTGCTTGTTGTGAGAGGGTGGGTTAGCCACAAGTTAACCATTAAGGTATGGAGTACTGTACAGAGAGGAAACCGGAAGTGAGAGGTGGGTTTGAGTGAGGATATCAGCTCTTTAGAATGGAGGAACAGAGGGGGGTAGGAAGCAACTGATGGCTGCTTCAGGTTCACTGATCTTTCAGGGTTTTGCCCTGGTATCTTACTCCGGGTTTTTATTCATTAAGATTAATTAGATTAACCCTACATCTGGCATTCAAGTAGGGACACTAAAGCATAAATACCTGTTCTTCTCTGCTTTGCAGCCACCTTAGCTGCCACTAGAGTCTTCAGCTGCAGTTGTAACTGCCTGTTTAATAGAGAGTGATGGAAAGTGTTCATTTAGGTCAGGAAAAGAGAAAGGTGTCTATTCCTTCACTCCCATTCAATATAGTATTTACAGTTTCAGAGTGATAAGAAGATAAAAATAAATAAAAGGATGCAAACAACAAGACAAGGAGGCAATCTATCCCTCTATTCAGATAATATGATTCTCTACATATGAGACATCCAAGGGAAGTAATTTCAGAAATGTGGCTAAATAAAATTTAGCCTAATAAAATATCAGTAGCCTACCTGTATACCCATGATAGAACACATTTAAAACATAACAAGTAACCAGTCTTCACAACCACAGAAATATACATAAAATCAACATAAACAAGGAAAGACTTCTACAATGAAAACATTAACTTAAAAATACATAAGTTAAAGAAGAGTATAGAAGAGGAAAAGAATTTACATGCTCTTGGATTGAAAAAACACAACCACGTTGTCAAAAAGGTTCTTCTTACCAAAAGTTATCAGTGCATTCAATGAAATCATAATTCAAATTCTAGGGCCATTCTTTACAGACACAGTCAAATCAAAATCAAAATTTGTATAGAGATGTAACTAAGAAAAGACAAAGTAAATTTGAACAAAAAAGATGTATCAACATAACCAATCTAAAATTATGCCATCAAGCCATAATAATAAAAAACAGCCTGACATTGGCGTAAAATGGTCCAAAGCTCAATGAAAAATAAAAACAGAATAGAAGAGGCAGCCTTTAATGTAAATAAATGCAACTGTGGGGCCTCCACCATAATCCAGCCATAGCATCATCACATCTTCATAAAGAAGACGTGACTCTAGGCCACACTGCATAATACTGCCTCTTTTTTTAACACTTAATTATTATATATTTAAATTAGAAACAAGCTTGCTTCCCATGTTAGTCCCAGATCCCTCTC